GTTTGGAAAGTCATAGGCTTGGAAATTAAAAGTAAAAAAGTGGTATATTTGGCCATGTCAATCGTTGTAGTACACTAGCACTGCCTGCAATGTCTATTTACACTGGGGTATATTAACAAGGGATGTTGCTTCCATTACACTAATCTTGCCATTACAATATTTCTCATATATACTTTCTGAAGATTGTGTTTCTCTGTGAAGTTGTATCTCCCTATTCAGCTGCCACAGGGAATTAGTCTACAAAGTTCAGTGCTGGAGTCAACTAAAATGAAAAAAGGTGAATTCAGAAAGACAGAAGATTAACCTTCTCATTACTTGTTCCAACAGAGAAACAGTGCCATTATGCATAATGACTTATTGCATTGTTTATCATACATAATAAAGTCATCTGATCTCTGCTGCCTCTATGGGGAGGAGGCTTATGGAACATCCAGTGAAGAAATTAAAATTATAATGCTAGAAATAACGTGAAGCTGTTTATCTCCACTGTTGGCCCACCGCCATCTCTTCCTCCCTTTTCTGGTATGAACAATAAAAGAGCTTTACGATCAAGATTACTTGAAGAGATAAGAACTAAGGAGCAGACAGCAGGAGACTCTAATAATGACACACCAGCAAAGAAGAAACCGAGAGTAGTGGCTCTAGCTCAAACACAGAGCCTGTTGTGAAGGAGAATTAGTATCTGTGAACTAACCTCACCACCCTTTGTGAAACACCTGTTGGTGGTTCATTTCCTTCCTTTTCCCCCATTCCCCAAGAAAAATCTGTCTGACCATAGCTAAAAAACACACTATTGAATACCAGTGCGGCAACATGCACAGTTATACTGTATGTGCTACTTTTTTGTGATCTAGATGTGGGACGTATCGCTTGTTACGTCCTTTACTTAGCAGGTTAGGTGGGTAATGGAGTGGAATTCAGCTGAAAGAAAGATACATCACAGTTAGAAATAATGTTTTTCTTCTTACTGCTTGTCTTGGTACAGACATGTTCCTCCCCCCCACACTGCTCTAGTTTTCTTTAATTCCTCCACGGGTTTTAATGGGTTTCACCATAGGTTCAAATTTCATAAGGCAATTTTTGTTTTATTAAGCAAGCAGAGAGTTATGGGTGGGTTAATGCACCAGCCTTTTATCTGGGTTCAAATCCTGCTCAGCTAACACATGAAAGCGACTGCATTTATTGACCTCAGCCTAGTCTCTAGTGTGGTTTTGTCCAGTTTCCAATGCAGACTCTGCTTAAGACAGACCCTAAACTACAATAGCAAATGGCGTTGCAGGTCAGAAACCAGCTGAATTACAAGGACTGCAGGGAAACTGGCAAAGCAGTTTACTATTTCCTCAGTTTTGTGAGCTCCAAATTATAAAACTATTTAAATATAAAGTCAGTTTATTCGCTTGAGTTTCTCAGGTTTATACAGCTCTGTTTTAAGTTCCCTGCCCAACTCATCTCATGGTCTTAAAGGTCAAATCAGAAAAAAAAATAACTCTTGGGGCATATTTCCTCCAAAATAGGGGTAAAAGCCTTAGGCCCATTGCTGTTCCTGGGAAGTCTTCATAGGACCAGTGGGAGAATGATGCTTGTTCCCCAGGGATGCCTCTTACTCCCTAGCCTCAGTCCACATTCCCCCTCTTTGATAATATCATCCATCCCAACCTGAACCAGTGATGGGTTTGGGTCAGGTGTAATTTGTATAGCACCCATCGGGTCTTGGCTTGGGTTGAATAGTCTTTTATCAGAGTGTGCCAACTATGTTATTCAGAGGCAGAGTAAGGTCACTTTGAATGGGAGGTGGCTGAAGTGTATATAGTGGGAAGCCCTGGGTGGGAGGGGAGTGCGGAGGGAGATGGGAGGAAGATAGGGGCAGACTCCCCACAGAGCCTGTCACCGGTCCCCATCTCCTCCTACCTGTGCCTGGTTCCTATTCTCTGCCGGGGGCTCCATGGTCCAGACAGCCCAGCTTCCCAGCTCTTGACATTTCCTATCTTTGGCTGTGACCCAGGCTCCCAGCAGCTCTGATCCCCACACTTCCCTGCCCAGTCATGGGTGCAGTGTTCCCGGCTCCCTCTGTGCTGATCTGCTGCCAAGTGTCCCCCGACCAGGCCTGGTATTGACACCTGTTGGTTCAGAGGATGCTCTGCAGTCAGGAGGGAAAGAGGCCCCGCTTGCTCAGTTCCTACTCCACAGCCCAATCCCAGATGCCAGAGTGGCTGCTCCAGCTCTTCCAGGTCGCACTCTTGCCTCCACACCCCTGCTCATGAAGTACAGGGGCAGAAATGTACATCAGTGCCCTCAATGTATCTATCCAGGGGTTTGGGCCAGGCTTTAAAATTAGATCAAAGCAGACCTCTAGTTCAGACCCTCTGTTAGCATCTTGGCATGCAGGAATATGCCATCACTGTTCAGTGCAGGCAGTGATGGTACAAAGGATCGAAACCATTTCACCAATGAGGGGAGACCTGTTGCAGCCAGAAGGATGGAGACACTGCAAAGGAGATGGTCAGCAATCAGAGAAAGCAGGCGTATGGAGTATGAAAGGTCAGCCAAGGATCTGTTGGCCCTGGAGACAGGTACTTCTGTGAGGATCCAGCCATTAGACACTAAAGGAGTAATCAGGGTTGCAGTGGCAAGCAGATCATAGAAGGTGATTACACAAGAGGGACAAGTGATCCCAAGGAACAGGAGACATGAGCCAGCGGACAACACCCAGCCAGAAACTAGAGATCATCACAGAATGGAGACACAGAGAACCATCCAGAACCATCCAGACAGGGAGGGAGGCAACTCCACAGAGAGAGTTTACTAGATTATGGTGACAGTGAGACAGAGATCAGTTACTCCTGGTGTGGTCATCTGTTGACGAGACCAAACTGTCTCAAAGAAATATGTAACTAGCTGAATCTGTGGTTAAAATGAGACTCCAACTTGGCTCTGTGTTAGCAACCTCTGACAGAAGGGACACGGAACAGGAGTTTGGGTGTCAATTATTTGTTTATATCAACATTGTATGTTAAAATGTTTGTAAAATAATAAAGAGGTATCATGATCAGTTGAACTGGAGTCAGAGGCCCATGTTTCTTTCCTGGAGGGACTGTTATTGATGGGACACCAGGAAAACCAGGGCTGCCCAGAGTATTCAGGGGGCCTGGGGCAAAGCAATTTCGGGGGCCCCTTCCATAAAAAAAGTTGCAATACTATAGAATACTATATTCTCGTACAGGCCCCTCCGGGGCCAGGGGCAAATTGCCCCCCTTGCGCCCCCCCCCCCCCCCCCCCCGGGCGGCTCTGACGAAAACAAAGAATGTGGAGAGAGACTAGAAGCAACTCAACCACGCAGACAGAGCAGAGCACGTGGTTTAACAAAATTTCACTTGTCTCAACTTAACCTTCATTCAGCTTTACTCTTTGCAAATGAAACAGTGCAGCACCCAGCCTGGGAAGGGGCAGATATTAGGGTGAGAGCTGCTGCAATGGGAGCCCACAATCACCTTACTGACGCATCTGGGAGAGTGAGCAATGTTAATTGTGACATGCTGGGCACGGGCAGGGGGAATTCAAAATCAAAAGACAGACCAAAATCCACAATATAGGCTTTTTAAAAAATGTCATGATATTTGGGGTTCAGCTCATGATCGTTGCTGATCTCTTGAGATTGGCAATATTGTAACTGTCACATGACCCCAAAAGGTTAAACTGTAAAACAGCAGTACGCACGAGGCTGGAGCTCTGGGGAGGGTGTGCTTAAATTACTGGCTTAGAAACCTGTAGGATCCAGTGTATGGATCCAAACACAGCAGCCTGATGAGCATCCAGCAGAAGGAGCTTGACCCCGTCTATGATAGCAAGCACGTAGGAAATCCAACACACTTAGGGATTCATATACCACTATAATGGGCTAAGTGAGACAGATACAGCACATCCAACTCTATTGCATGGTTGGATTTTTTCCACACATTAAGAAAAGACCGACAAGCATTTGTTAAACTGCTTGCTTAAAATGATTTATTTTAAGCAGCTTCAGGGTATGTCTACAATGCACATCACTTGCAACGGGGTATAAGGTGTGTAGCTACACGCTGCAGTGAAAAGCAGACTGCTCCCACACCACAGTGCATTGCTACATGTGTCAGTGAAAGACTTCGGCAGCTGCCTATAGCACAGAAAAGCCTTTCTGCATTTCAGGGAGCTGCCGGAACCTTTCCCTGCTGTTCCCCCGCTGCCAGAACCTTTCCCCATTGCTAGAGCTTCCCCCTGCAGCAGGGAAAGACTCCAGCAGCGGGACACGGAAGGAGGCACTGCTTGGGTGTGTAGAGAGCCGCGTAGGGCAGAGCTTTTTCTTTCTGAGGTCTCCCCGCAGCCCCAAACATGCTCTAAAAATTCCACGGCCCACCTCTGCCACAATAACTGGTTTTCTGCATATAAAAGCCAGGGCTAGCGTTAGGCAGTAGCAAGCAGGAGCCACCATGAAGCTACATTGCTCAAGCTTCAGCTTCAGCCGTGGGTGGCGGGGCTCAGGGGCCTCAGCTTCAGTCCCATGCTGTGGGGTTTCGGCTTTCTGCCCTGGGCCCCAGCAAGTCTAATGCTGGCTCTACTTGGAGGTCCCCCTGAAACCTGCTCAAGGCCCCCTAGGGGGCCCCAGAACCCTGGTTGAGAACTACTGGCATAGGGTATATGCTGTGACAATCAGGGTCCAGACCCCCCCAGGGGAGAATAGGGGCTCTTAACCCCAGAGAGTAAGCATTTGAATCAGCTGGTTGTATGCAATGTTGTGTATAAAAATATGTGGAGTAAAGTCTTTTATGAAAGCACGTAATGTTTTGAACTTGATGGCCATTACGAGATATGTATACAGACTGTGGTTATATATTTATTTATATAGAATACTATGTCTATGACCTAAGCTACAATTTCAAATATACCTCACAGCAGGGAGGAGTGCATTCCCAGCTAGGTGTTAAGACAAAACCAGATGCAAGTAATGATCCATGTTGCAACCCAGGAAAAGACAAATGATTGACCATTACAGTTAATAGGAAGCCACTGAGACACCCCAGCTACCAAGTCAAGAGGGAATTTTCTCCATTGTGAGTAATGATGAATCACAATAGTCTGACAGAAAGGGGGGGAAAACCAACAAAAACAGTGCAAACCCTTAAAAGAGAAGGGCTTTGAAGTGAAGGCTTTCTAGAAAGTGATGGGCAGCCTCTAAACAGGAAACTGTCCCTGATATGCTGGATCCCATCTATGATGGGGCATACTGGAAAACTGTTCAAACACAATAGGTAACTTGTATAAGGAAAGAGAATTTACCTAATATATAAGTGTAAAGCCTGAAGTTGCGTCTTTATGTTTATTTTCTGTCTGACTTGCATGTGTTTGCTTTTTCTTACTATTTCTTCTCTGAATTTGTGATTTTTCTTTTAAACAAAACTTTTTGTTTATTTTTATCCAAAGCACGTCTCCAGTGTGCAAGCTTTATGGTGTGTGTGCCAAACTGATAACTGGGGGCAGTTTTCACATGTTTGGGGTGACGAACCAGAGGGGAAAGGTCTGAGTGTCTTGTACTTAAGAATTTGGGGAGATTTATATAGAAAACTATACATATAAAATGATGGGGTCTAAATTAGCTGTTACCACTCAAGAAAGAGATCTTGGAGTCATTGTGAATAGTTCTCTGAAAATATCTGCTCAATGTGCAGCAGCTAGGGTTGCCAGTTTTGGGTGGACATATTCCTGGAGGTTTCATCTCATGACAATCTTTAATTTCTGGAGACTCCAGGACAATCCTGGAAGGTTGGCAACTGTAGTAGCAGCAGTCAAAAAAAGCTAACAGAATGTTAGGAACCATTAGGAAAGGGATAGATAAGAGAGTAAATATCGTAACGCCAGTATATAAATCCATGGTACACCCACAACTTGAATACTGCATGCAGTTTCCCCACCCCCCCTCCTTTCAAAAAAAGATATATTTGAAATGGTAAAAGTACAAAAAGGGCAACAAAAATGATTAAGGATATGGAACAGCTTCCATATGAGGAGAGATTAAAAACACTAGGACTGTCCAGCTTGGAAAAGAGACAACTAAAGGGGGGTATAATAGAGGTCTATAAAATCATGAATGGTGTGGAGAAAGTGATTAAGGAAGTGTTATTTACCCCATATCTTAACACAAGAACCAGTAAAAATTAATAGGCAGCTGGTTTAAAACAAACAAAAGGAAGTACTTCTTCACACAATGCACAGTCAACCTGTGAAACTCGTTGTTAGGAGATGTTTTGAAGGCCAAAATTATAGTGGGGTTCAAAAAAGAATTAGGAAAGTTCATGGAGGATAGGTCCATCAGTGGTATTAGCCAAGATGGTCAGGGATGCAACCCCACGCTCGGTCTCTCTGAGCCTCTGATTGCCAGATGCTGGGACTAGATGACGGGATGGATCACTTGATAATGCCATGTTCTGTTCATTCCCTTTGAAACATCTGGCATTGGCCCCTGTTGGAAGACAGGATACTGGGCTAGATGGACCATTGGTCTGACCCAGTATGGGCATTCTTATGTTTTTATGTTGGGATCACCCTGAGAGGAGTAACTAGGCTGGTGGAAGCGAGGTTGAGACTTGTGGGCTGGTGTCAGGACTCTGAGCAATAGCAGCATAGAATTAAGACACCCAAAGCTACAAGAAGGCAGTGACAGAACCCCTTAGAGATCTGGATGATGATACCCAAAATGTCACACATACCCACAGGGTTCAGGGTTGCTCTACTCACCTAGTAGTGCCATACTGTCTACACTGCTGTTTATACCCATACTAGTGGAGCATGCAGTGTGTGTACTCTATGCGCTGCCAAAAGGAGTGTGCAGTGTAGATGTACCTTTAATTTTTAAAAATGATGTCCTACCTGCTAATAATGAAGTTCTCGTCACAGTTGGGTATTGTCAAATATGGTAGGGCCAGTGGCCGTTTACCTAGACCACTTGAAAAAGATATGCATGAGTAGCTGTAGCAATATTCAGTTGTTGGAATGTAAAAGTGCTCTTGCATTAGACCTGTAATGATTACCAGATCATTTATTTAAACCAAAATAATAGAACATTAACATTGGTTTTAACTATAATTATTTTGAGTAGACTTCAAAGATATACGTATATATTATAGATGCAGTACAAAAATGTACTATAAAGGCCTGGATAACATTACTGGATTTTAACTGATTAAATTGTTGCTCCCTGCACACCATTATGCCCAATTTATGATAGTGAGGTATACCTCTAAGATGACTAGTTAGCATGAAATTTTGTACAATTTAAAAACAAACAAAAATGGCACAAAAAGACTCCTCACTTTCTCCATTCTTCTAAACTCTCTATTTTAATCAGTAAATTAAAGAGAATTACTGGAACAAGAGAGAACACTATTCTGTGAGTAAGTAAGGAACTACACACAAGAATGAAAGCAAATTGGGCAGTCTGGTGTATGACACCATAGAAGGAAGTGTAATGGAATACAAAGTAGCAAATGACAGCAGGGTTCTACTAATACCAAGGATTTTCAGAAGTATACACTAAAATTCATCCAAAACTGAATATTACAGAAATAACTACACTTAATTAGAAGAGTAGGAGATCAAGATGAACTGTGAAGTTATACAAGGATTTATTTGATTGAAACTCTTCACCTTCTGCCTAGATAAAATCTTTAGACACACTTGAATGAGGGAGAGTGACATGCCTAAGGCTTGGTCTACACTATGAGTTTAATTCAAATTTAGCAGCGTTAAATCGAATTAACCCTGCACCCGTCTACACAACGAAGCCATTTATTTCGAAATAAAGGGCTCTTAAAATCGATTTCTGTACTCCTCCCCGACGAGCGGAGTAGCGCCAAAATCGATATTGTCATTTCGAATTAGGGTTAGTGTGGCCGCAATTCGATGGTATTGGCCTCCGGGAACTATCCCACAGTGCACTATTGTGACCACTCTAGACAGCAATCCAAACTCGGATGCACTGGCCAGGTAGACAGGAAAAGCCCCGCGAACATTTGAATTTCATTTCCTGTTTGCCCAGCACAGGAGAGCATAGGTGACCACAGAGAGCTCATCAGCACAGATAACCATGCAGGCCGATAACCGAAAAAGAGCACCAGCATGGACCGTTCGGGAGGTACTGGATCTGATCGCTATACGGGGAGAGGATTCAGTGCTAGCAGAACTTCGTTCGAAAAGACGAAATGCCAAAACTTTTGAAAAAAATCTCCAAGGGCATGATGGAGAGAGGCCACAATAGGGACTCAGATCAGTGCCACGTGAAAGTCAAGGAGCTCAGACAAGCCTATCATAAAACAAAGGAGGCAAACAGTCGCTCCGGGTCAGAGCCGCAGACATGCCGCTTCTACACCGAGCTGCATGCAATTCTAGGGGGGGCCGCCACCACTATCCCATCTCCGACCATGGATTCCGAGGCGGGGGTAATCTCATCAGCCACACCTGAGGATTCTGCGGACGGGGAAGAGGAGGAGGACGAGCTTGCGGAGAGCACACAGCACTCCGTTCTCCCCAACAGCCAGGATCTTTTTCTCAGCCTGACTGAAGTACCCTCCCAAGCCAGTAGCCAAGACCATGACCCCATGGAAGGGACCTCAGGTGAGTTTACCTTTTAAAATATAAAACATGGTTTAAAAGCAAGCGTTTTTTAATGATTAATTTGCCCTGAGGACTTGGGATGCATTCGCGGCCAGTACAGCTACTGGAAAAGTCTGTTAACGTGTCTGGGGATGGAGCGGAAATCCTCCGTGGACATCTCCATGAAGCTCTCCTGGAGGTACTCCAAAAGCCTTTGCAGAAGGTTTCTGGGCAGTGCAGCCTTATTCTGTCCTCCATGGTAGGACACTTGACCACGTCATGCTAGTAGCAAGTAATCTGGTATCATTGCCCGACAAAGCCTGGCAACGTATGGTCCCGGTGTTTGCTGGCATTCAAGCAACATCCGTTCTTTATCTCGCTGTGTAATCCTCAGGAGAGTGATATCGTTTATGGTAACCTGGTTGAAATACGGGAATTTAATTAAGGGGACAGAGGTGGCCGTTCCTACTGGGCTGTTTGCCTGTGGCTGAAAAGAAATCTTTCCCTGCAGTTAGCCAAGCGCGGGGGGGGGGGAGAAATTGGCACTGAGCTTTTCGCCTTTGGCTAGCAGGGATCTTCCCTGATACCAGCCATGCAGTGGGGGGAGGGGTACAGCGATCATCCCAGAGAATTGGATGGGGGGGAGGGTTAGTTTGTTTTCTGCTGCTGAAGGTTAACAGGAAAACCGCAGCAGTCAAACGGCTTTGCTTGGTATGTGGGAAAGGAGGGCGCAGAAGCCGAAAGACAATGGCTTTCCATGGCCGCATGCAAGCCGAATACTGTTGCCCGGACCTGCATCTGTGATCTCTAACACCAAAGCCACAGGCACTCAATATTAAGATGGAAAATGCGACCTTGTACTGAAATCACGTGCTATGTAATGTGAATAGTGTTTTTCACCGTGAAAGAGTATAAGCATTGTTCTGTAAAATGTATCTTTTTAAAAACTTCTCTCCTTTTTTCCATCCCTCCAGCAGCTGCAAATTTTTCAAGCCTCCCTCCTCCGTCCCGAAGGCTATCTCAGATAAGGAGGCGGAGAAAGAGGACGTGAAACGAGATGTTCTCGGAAATAATGGAATGCACCCGCAATGAAAGAGCTCATTTGAATGAGTGAAAGGACACGGTATCTAAGTACAGGAAAGATGCCAGTGAACGTGAGGTCATGAGGGACGCTCGAGATGAGAGGTGGCAGGCTGCAATGCTGGGGCTGCTGCGTGATCAAACGGACATCCTCCGGCGTCTGGTGGAGCTTCAGGAACGGCAGCAGGATAACAGAGTGCCGCTGCAGCCGCTGTATAACCTACCTCCCCCCTCACCATGTTCCATAGCCTCCTCACCCAGACGTATAAGAACATGGGGGGGGAGGCTCCGTGCACCCTCCCACTCCACCCCAGTGGACAGCCCAACCAAAAGGCTGTCATTATATTGAATTTTTTCAGTGGCCTTTTACTTCCCTCCTATCCTG